GGGGGGATGTGTTTCAGAGCTTGGTGTGCAGCAGGTTTCAGGGGCTGATTTCTGGATGCTGAACAATGGTTACCAGCGAGGGAGAAGCGTGTGCGCGTGTATTAGCTGTGCGTTACATCCGCAGCCGTACATTCACACAGCGACCATGACATCACTAGCTTTTCTTTTCTTTTTCTCCTTTGGGGCGGAGGGGGCCACTTCAAAGCTTTCTTCAGTTCAGTACGATATTTCCTTAACTCTGAAACCATGAAGGTAAAAATGTTTGGGTTTGTTTTTTTTTTTTAAGGAGAAAAAGTTGGTTAGTAGCAGGGCACATACGTTACAGTTGAGGGGCTTTAGAGATGGAATGGTTTAACTCTTGTCATACACAAAATTAGATTTGTTTATTTAAAAAAAAATCATTAAAAATAGTATGTAGTAGTTTTTAATTGGGTGCTTGTGATCCTGTGTTTGGTTGACAGTTAAATTTTCTGAATTCTTCAGAAAGCTCAACTGTGATGTAAAAGATGAAAATTTTAGGGGCACTACATAAAAATTATTTCATCCAGTGATAAAGGAATATGGAAAATAATACTGAATGTTAATAAAAAAGAGATAATGTGTTTTGACACAGTGGCTCCATGTTCGTTCTCAGAAGTCCATGAGGCTTTTTTTCTCCTATTAATATATATTACAGAAAGTACAACTACCCGTCAGCCAATCGTGTGTATTTGCCCATAATTATACATAGAAAAGAGAAACATATTTAAGAATTTTAGAAAGCATTGCATTTTCGCTAGAATTTTGTGGGAATCTTGAGTTTTCTGCTGTTTTCTTTTCTAACTCTGCCAAGCTTGCTGAGAGAACCACTTGATCCAGGAGGAGGATTTCTGTCACTTCAGTACTCTGTAATACCTTTGCCTGGGTCGCTTAGTTAATTTATTTGCCTTTTCTTGTATAAAACAACGGATAAAATTCTGTAGAATTAATCTAAAATGAATTAATCTAAAAGGACAGCGATTTAGGTGTTTTTTCTTTCGCTGCATGTTGTTGCATGCACAGGTTTTACATGGCTGGTGGTGAGATCTTGTAAGCGTTTTACCTTTAGAGGAATTCTTTTTATTGAGACTGGGGGTGAAAGGCCTGACAGAGCTGTATAACTGTGCCTGTTTCTTTTCTTCCAAAATATTTGCAAGGTGTTTTCAGTTCTGATGTGCATTTAACATCACATTTTAGGGAAACTTTGTTGAATTTATTGAAGAAATAATTGATCTGGACTTAATTTCATCGCTCAGTTGTTTTGTGGCAGTGTGTATTGTTTTTAGCACATTAAAAATGAAAATGTTTTTTAGAGCTTTGTTATTTTTTAAGCTATTTAATACACATTAGCTAGATATGTTGTGTATCGATATTGAGCACAGTCCGCTATAATTTGTGAAAACTGTATTTTAAAAAGCTGTCCTGAAAACTTGGCGTCGTATATTAAGGCATGTTAGTTTTTTAATAATGCTGTTATTACTGAAATCGCCAAATACAAGTGGGTGTAGGGGTGCATGATAATTTTTTTTTTTATTTCTTGCAGTTTTTTAACAGCTTCACATTTGACTTTTTACTGTACACAGAAGCAAGAGATACCCTAAGAAAATCAGTGGAGCTATTCCTCCTGCAGTATATGTCTGTCTAGTGCTGAAATACGCGATTTATATGCAAGAACTAAGCTGTTTATGTTGTGGTGTTTTAGAGAATGCTAGACAGAAAGTAAAATTGCATTACTAGGCATTCATTCAAAGCACATAAGTAAGGTCTATCAGGGCAGTTATAAGCACCCTTTTGCTTATATTCATTTCTCCGTTCCCATCTTTTCTGAATTTTTGTTCCTGTGTTATTGCTCTGTATCTCTCCCTTCTCCACCCCCTTTACGTTCAGGACTGTTTCCTGAACACCTGCTCAGGTTTCACCAGTCTCCTTGCTTAGAGGTTGTGTAGCCAGCAGACCTTGTACTGGTACTGCTTAAAACAGTCTTTTTCAGTTTTTAGTCTGATATATGCCAAGTCTTTCTGGTTTTTGCCTTGTTAGATATGAACGAAGGCTCTCCTGCTCTACAAAGATAATATCTGCCTAGTTATTAAAGTATGCAAAGAAATGATTTGTCGCATTGGGGAAGAAACTGTGCCTCTCCTTTTGTAATGGAAGAAATAGATCTGGGCACCGTGGTGCCTGAAACTCTGAGAGTCTGAGCACTACCCTGTCCTCCTCGTATGGGGAAATCCACCTGTTGATTAAATAATCTGTAATTTTGAGATATGGTGTAAGGCTTGGCTGGATGCATTCAGGCCGCAGTTTCTGGGCTACAGGCTGGAGTAACTCCCGTGTCCAAATTCATATGCCAAGATCAGGCAGAGCAGATGCAGCAGGGTGCTTTCTCTTTTATCAATAAAGCATTAAGAGAATGAGTGAGGTAAAATCTAACTGGCATCAATGTAATTCCAAGTGATGCTCAAGGATCTCAAAATGCACAGCTGTGTCTAAGCAAGAGCTTGTCGGGGTCTGACCTGACCTAAGAGTAACACCACATGGTCCAAGGATGCAGCACTTGTATTTAAAACCTCAAGTTTCTTTTTCTTTTTCTTTTTCTTTTTCTTTTTCTTTTTCTTTTTCTTTTTCTTTTTCTTTTTCTTTTTCTTTTTCTTTTTCTTTTTCTTTTTCTTTTTCTTTTTCTTTTTCTTTTTCTTTTTCTTTTTCTTTTTCTTTTTCTTTTTCTTTTTCTTTTTCTTTTTCTTTTTCTTTCTTCAAAAAACACCCTAAATACTGTAGCAGTAAGATTACAGTCTACAACAGCTTTGAAAGCAAAGTGTGAGCACACTTAATACTAACGTTTTTCTACTAGTGTTTTTAATTCTCCTGCATAAGAACTAACAGGCAGTAATTAGATAGCTAAAGCCCCAGTTCTTTCCCTTTTACGCTAGAGGATTTGGCGTATGCTAATTGTCACCAGATCATTTCACATAATTGCCTTTTGGCGAAATTAAGTGGAAATTTCCTGAACATCTTAAATCCTCTCTTCCCCACCCCCCTCCCCTCAGTACCTCCGCTCCCTTGCAGGAAGGATGCCGAAAATGTCAAGCACGGTGGCTTAGTGCTCCAGTGTGCAGAGGGCACTTCATTATAGTGAAAAGAGGGAGAAAAAAAAGAAAACTATTATTTTCTTGAATGAATTGCTGGACACTTAAAGCCAGGAAGCTGATCTTGTTGTTTTGTCTGAGAGATTGCTAATAGAGCACTTATTTTGTTGTTGTTTTTTTGGAAAGCTGGCAGTTCTTGCAGGAGCAGGTAGGCACTGACTGACCTGGGAAGTGGTCAGGGAGGGAGGGGGAAGAAGCAGAAGGATGCAAAAGTATGTTCTCCCCATGCCCCCCCCC